CTCAATTATGGAAAACCATTTAAATTGAGGCCAACAGCTTTCTTTTTACTCCTCTAAAGTGAAAGTACTAAGGTTTGGTTTGAATCAGTAGTGAAACACATGGTTTAATAGTTACAGTGGTTTTAATATCCAGGAAAACATTTTAACTAGGTTGAAGTCTTCCTTTAAAATCAATGTCCCAATGAATTGTTTAAACGCTAAGCTCTGCTGAGGTTTGGTAAATGAATAATTAAGTACTTGGTTCGACTAAATTTCCACTTCAAGGTTTTTTCTTTACCAATCAATGATATAGTGCCCCCCCCCCTCTCGTATTATTTAGTGCATGTTTAAGTGAAAAAATTGTAGGTAATTTAATTAAAATAATTAAAACACTGCTTATGACTAAGTTGTTTAGTATTTAAAACCACAGTGTGATGAAAATCGGAGAAAAACAGCCACAATGGGTTGTTCCACTTGCAACAAAGCTTAAAATTGTAAACCTGCCGCACATCACTAGAATTTCTGGAGATTTAATGCACAGTGAGCACCAGTAAAGAATATTTTACCTGATCAATACTGTACAGTGTAAAAACTCAATTGACCATGAGCTTAGACAAAAGAGGCTTAATGGAGAGAGCCTCTAGTTGTGGAGAAGAAATATGGAAGAAGGCGATACTCGGGATTTAAATAGTGAAACAAAGTATTCATTAGTCAAGGATAGGATCATTAAAGCTATTAGCCCAGTCAAAGTTAGGCATGATGATGATGATGATGTGGTGAATCACAATGGAAACTTTGATTATGCAACTGTAATCACAGAAGAAGGTATAACACATTTAGGTCTTAAAAGTGCAGCTCCACGAAGAGGCCTTTCAGCTGTAGCATCTACTCCTGCAAGTCAGTCAAGCCCTAGACCAGAATCAACTTTGTCCCAAGTGTCAGAAAGATCTCGTAATAGCCTTTCTTCAAATCTTGAACCTTCCGAAACTGAAAGTGTCAGGAATTTTGGTAATGAAGATGAAGAGAAATTAAGCATAACCTCTGCCAATGATGACGATGATGTTGTATTAAAAGGTGGTCTACCAGAACCAGCAATCTACAACTCCACCAGCCGGCCAGCATCAGCTGTTTCTGTACAAAGTAAAACTACAGTTAAAACAAGCAATAGTAGACCAGATTCAGTAGCTTCAGAAAACAGTAAAACTTCAGTGAAAACAGCCAACAGCAGACCAGGATCAGCAGCTTCAGCAAAAAGTAAGCCTTCATCACGTCCTGCTTCAGCCACTGAGTCTGTAAATTCTACAAACTCTGTTAAGAGTGGAACATCAAATCAATCAAAAAAAAGTAGTAGACCTCCAACTGGAACCATGGGCGATGATAACAATGAAGATAAAGCATCAATTGGGGACGGATCTAGACCAGCCTCAGCCAAAAGTGCTAAATCTGTGACTTCAACCAAAAGCAACGAAAGTTCTAAAACTGAACCTGAATTAGAAGCACTTACAGAAGCAGATGGAGGGGAACCTGAAGCAGAGGCAGAGGCTGATGTTAATATAGAAGCAGAAGCAGAAGAAGAGGCAGAAGCAAAGGCTGAGCCAGAAGCTGACACTGAACATGAAGCAGAAGGAGAGGCAGACCCTGAACCAGAGGCAGAAGTTGAACTAGAAGCGGAAGCAGAAGCAGAATCAGAAGCAGAACCAGAAGCAGATGCAGAACCAGAAGCAGAAGAAGAGGCTGAACCCGAAGCTGAAGCTGAACCAGAAGCAGAAGAAGATGCGGGAGCTGAACCAAAAGTAGACGCTGAAGTAGAAGCTGAACCAGATGTTGAACCAGATGCAGAGGCTGAAGCTGAAGCTGAACCAGAAGGAGAGGAAGAAGGGGATGCAGAAGCAGAAGCAGAAGCTGAAGCTGAAGCAGAAGCAGAAGCTGAAGCAGAAGCTGAAGCTGAAGCAGAAGCAGAAGCTGAAGCTGAAGCCGAAGCCAAAGCTGAAGCCGAAGCTGAAGCTGAAGCAGAAGCAGAAGCAGAAGCAGAAGCAGAAGCAGAAGCAGAAGCAGAAGCTGAAGCTGAAGCCGAAGCCGAAGCCGAAGCTGAAGCAGAAGCAGAAGCAGAAGCAGAAGCAGAAGCAGAAGCAGAAGCAGAAGCAGAAGCAGAAGCAGAAGCTGAAGCTGAAGCTGAAGCTGAAGCTGAAGTAGAAGCAGAAGCAGAAGCAGAAGCAGAAGCAGAAGCAGAAGCAGAGGCAGAAGCAGAAGCAGAAGCAGAAGCAGAAGCAGAAGCAGAAGCAGAAGCAGAAGCAGAAGCAGAAGCAGAAGCTGAGGATGAAGCTGATGCTGAAAATGAAGAAGAAGCAGAAGCTGAAGCAGAAGCTGAAGTTGAAGCTGAAGCTGAAGCAGAAGCAGAAGCTGAAGCTGAAGCTGAAGCAGAGGCTGAAGCAGAAGCTGAAGCCGAAGCTGAAGCAGAAGCTGAAGCAGAAGCAGAAGCAGAAGCAGAAGCAGAAGCAGAAGCAGAAGCAGAAGCAGAAGCAGAAGCAGAAGAAGCAGATGCAGGAGAAGCAGAAGCAGGTGAAAATGATGGAGGAACAAGAACTGTGTCTCAAAATTCTAGTTTACGTCCAGAATCAGCTAAATCTACCACATCTAGAAGAGCATCTATTGAAGTGTTAAGTGGAGCTGGTACACCTAGAATAAATGACGACGAGGAAGAAGATGAGAATGCAAACTCAGAAGAAGAAGATACTATCCGTCCAGATTCTAATGAGCCAGGAAATGAAGAAACATCTGATATTGGGAAAAGTGAAGATGATAGTGATCCTAATGATTCATCAAAGTTCTTAACTGGAGCATCTATTGCAGCCCCTGTTATAGCAGCGGGAGGAACTATATTTGCTACATCAAGGCGAAAAGGTTACAATTCCTTATTATCATTGATAAAAAAGAAAATTTTATTCACTTCAATCTGCTTTTATTGCACTAAATCAATTTAATATTTTAAAATATTAACTAGCAAATATTACAGTTCGAAAAGGAGTTCCTGCACATTTAAGAAATGTTCGTTCCAAGTTGTTCAAAACCTTCCACGAAAATGAGCATTATTTTGTTCAGAATAACAAAGGTGAAAATAGTAAAAACAATCTATAGTTTATTAAAATCTTTTAAAGATTTTAAACCTATTGTGTATTAATTTGAGTTTAATGTATAATGGAAAAAAGTTTCGGTTTTGTCCATGCAATAAACATAAAAAAAAAGTTCACAAAAAATGTTGATTCTTTAATAAAATAAATAGAAGAACCTAATCCATAAAAAAATAATGTCAAATAAGCGCGCAAAGGAAATACAAATAGGAGGATGGTCAGTTTCAAAAGGAAAAAGTTATGAGTGTCTAAAACTGGTTTGAACTAGTTTTTTAAGGTTAAAAATGTAGTAATCTTAAGTTACAAATATCATGACAGTTTCTCTATTTTTTTGTTCTTTTCTTGTTTGCTTAGCCTGAATACCTAGCCTGGTATATTTTAGTTAAACATACATTGGCCCCAGAACTTGTAAAATGGAAAAAGTTCTAGATGCTTGTAAAAAAGAATGATTAGATCTCTCATTGCCAGATGAATTGAAGGTTTTCTGGGGAACAAGGATGGTGTTTGAAATTCAGTATTTATGCAAATATCCTAAAGATTTTAGGGATAAGGAATGAAGGAAGGGGAGAAGTGGGTCGGGTTAAAATTGCGGGGTTTTTATTTTTCGTAACTCTGGTTCAATAAATTTGGGAAAATTCAGAGTGTTGAATAATTAAATTCATCTAAATGTCAGGTATAGAACAGGAATATAACTGCACTGAGGGGGGGTGGGTGCCATTTTGTCCCCATCTCTTATCTATTTTTGATTTCCTTTCCTTAAATTGATTATCGAAATTAGTGAAAGACAACTGGGAAGAGAAGTAGTTGAACTTATTTTGCATAGTTCAACTATGCATTAAGTAATTTGTCCCTGATTATAATTTAAAAGTTTATATAACTTTAAGGTCTATTCTATACTACACATCTGTATACTTCTACTTTATATAAATGTATTATTTATTGCTTAAAAGTGAGTAATACAGAAATTAAAAGTTGTGTATTATTGCAGATATTTTTAAAAGGATTAGTATTTTTTTTCTATTTTGCTCTTTTACAATATCAGGTTTGTAAAGTGAATGAGTGTTTTCAAAAATTTAAGTTTAAAGTATTAATAATCGTGTTTTTACTAAAAGCGAAATCTAGGTTCGTCTTTTTTCGTAAAAATATTAGAATCTTTTTTTTAAATGTTGCAGGTACAGTATACAAGTTTCCCATTTTAGACTAAAAAGAACAACTAGCTTACTAGGGGCCATTGTGATTTGGTAAATAAAGGATCATTTAAAATTACGTTGACAATATTTTCATATTTAACATATTTTCGAATAAATTTTAAGTGACCCCCATGCAAAGATGGCAATGCCCGATTCACAACGGTACCGTTAATTAACCTTAATAAAAAATGTGAAGGATAACGCCATTTTTATGACTCGAAAAGTGAAACCACAGATTAAGACAGTTTTCAAAAACAAGAACATGGAGTTATATTACCTACTTAATGAGACAAAGCTTTTAAGATTTCCGTTGTAAATTGGCATTTCCACCTTTAAATGGAGGATCACTTGAAATTACGAGTAAGAGCTAGAAATATGTATATTGCTATTTAAATTATTATTTGTATTGTATAAAATAAAGAAATTTATGTGTGCAGTATTGGTACCGATTTTTAGAGGTATGACTAATATTGTATTTTTTTTGCTTTAAAAATAATCAGGGTTTTTTCAGTTGACATTGATCTGAAGATTGTTTTTTAAAAATTGATTATGAGGATTTCTTGGACTAAAAGCGAAAATAATTGTTTGCAAAAACATTTGGAATAAACTTCAAAATATGGGTTTTTCAAAAAATTAGTTCTATATATATATTTGCATATTATAAAATTAATGATTGATTATTTCTAATATTTCTAATATTTAGATGGTGATGCTGACAGCGGAGTTGACGAATCAACGCAAGCGAAGGAAAATGGACACACACCGAAACAGAGCAGGTTAGGGGTTTGTTTTAAAATAAATAAGTTTAAGAAAATAGTTTTTTTTGTTATGTTCAATTCAAGATATGCTCCATAAAATTTTTTAAATTGTACACTTTAAAAGCTAGTTTTTATTAAAAATTCTGCACAATTTGACATACAATTTAGGCTTGAAAAATGATTTAAATCGTCGTTAACTAACAATTGGGCTCGCTTCGTTCAGAACTTTGGCTAGAGACACCCTTATGCATGATATTGCAAACTTTTGTATTGGTTTTTTTAATCTAAAGTTTTAAAAGTGTACTGAACCTTGAACCAAACTTTTTAAATTAGGTTTTTTAAATTGGGTTTCATGGTTTTGTTTTAGGAATTGGTTAGTTTCTTGGGTTTGTTTTAGAAATGGAGTTTGGTGAATTAGGTTTCATGGGTTTCTTTTAGGAATTGGACCTGGTGAATTGGTTTTTTTTAAATTGGATGTGATAAATAGATTTTGTTTGACCAGAATTTGTGAGGTTAAAAAGCTGCACTCTAAATATTGAGCCAAACTTAAAAAGAAAAAAGGACAATTATCATTAAATTTCTCATAATTGCAGCGAAGCTGGGGCATATTAATTTGAAAAAAAATTAAAATTTGATGTTCATTTTTTTTGTGGGGAAATGTTGTTAGCCACGTTAATCCAACGAGTCTGCATTTTGTACATCAAACACTGGGTAGTGGGTAGACTAGACCCGCCGGTACGAGTAAATGCATTAACTTTAGACTGGTAAATGTTTTTAATTGTGTTGTTTTGTTAAAAATGTGTGAATGTGTTTGTGTGTATATTATGTTGTGTTGAATAGATAAATAAAATTGCATGATACAAAATGCAGTACACAATATGGTACTTTCAAGATAAAGGATAAGATTAGAACAATATTTAAACTAAGAATAGAACTGTTATTCACTAAACTTGTGACTGAGAACCAGAACAGTTTAGAATGAATGTAAGCTTCACCAATACTACTCTCCACTAAACTCTACTATATCTCCGGTCCATGTACTGCAAACCACTGCAGTACACACGGAAAACTTAGTAGAGGGTGAAACAATTATCAAGGTTTAACCGTAGTGGGAGAATTAAACCTCAGTTTTAAGATAATTTCTCTTTTTGGTGAATCTACAAAATATATAAAATGTTTGATGAGAACGTAATCTAACCTTGGGTCCAGTGCATGTATGAATAATTAAAGAAGAAAGTCACAAACTGGATTATTTATTATTAACAGTTAATCCTTTTTTAAAATTAATAATCCATTAAATTGAGGCCCCCCTAACAGTTTGTTCTTCCGGATTACAAATCCGGAATATTCTCTTCGTCATTTTTAACAAAATTTTATGTATTTTTAACAGCGTATTCTAGAAATTAAAAAATATAATATAAAACTAATATTTCATATTCTAAAACCCTCGATCAATAAGATTCTAAATAATTGTTTATCTACGGTCTCAAAAAGGTCGTAAATATCCGCATGAACTTAAATTCTTAAATACTTTGAATTAAAGGCCTTGATTGACTATTATATTTCCAGACCCCCCCTCCGTCTTTAGGAATTTTCTAGGATCCCTAAAAATGTCCTATAAACCTTGTCTTTTCTCCAGAATCCTTAAAAAGTTCCTAAATATCTTGCTTTTTGCTAGAATCCCTAAAACGTTAATAAATATTTTGCTTTTCGCTTGACCCCTTAAACGTTCCACACTATCTTATTTTTTTTAAATCCTTAAAAACTTCCAAAATATGTTTTTTAAATATGTTTTTCTCTAAAATCCCTAAATTTTCTTAAATATCTTGTTTTTCTCTAGGATCCAAAAATATAGTTTGCCTAGGATCCCTAAAGCCCCTAAATATTTTTTGTTTCTCTAGGATCCCTAAAAAGCCCCTAAATATCTTGTGTTTCTCTAGGATCCCTAAAAAGTCCCCGACAGAATCACCTCAGAAAAGGTCACGTGACTTGAACCCTTTGGACCACAGGAGAATGCCCAGGTATAGTTTTTTTTCTATAATTTTGTTTGTCCCAAACAAAATTATATTTTTAACCAAAAAAACTGATTATTTTCGATTTTTATTTATTTAATGAAGCATCACTATACATGTTTTAAAAGTGTACTTAGACTATTGAGACCGGACCAACTTTGAAGTATAACTAGTACCTTTGTCATTACATTGATCTTTCTATTGAGACCGGGCCAACTTTGAAGTATAACTAATACCTTTGTCATTACATTCATCATTCTTAATTGACCTTACCAGGTTACAAAGCAATTTGTTTGGTAATCTTCCTTTATTTTGTAGAAGTAAATCTGTTCCTAAACCTCCTTTTATGGCATTTGCCACTCCCCCTCTTCCTGATTCGGCTAAAAAAGGTAAATCTTAATATTAACTTGGTTGAATGAATTAGTAGATTTCTTCATGTTTTATATAAAATCGTCACTTTTATTCACTTTTTGCTTGAAATCATATCACCTTTTCAAAAGCCTATTGATACAAAGGAAAGGAGTTTTTGCCACCAACTCTAATTTTTTTATCTTTGAAATCGGATGTTACAGAGTTATTTCTTACTTTCTGTTAGCCCCTATACGAACACAATTTATTTATAATAATAAGTATTTAAAATTGTTTATTTTAGTTCTAATCAAAAAAATTTATAATATCAAAGAATAGTTTAGAATCTTCTTGGAATTGTTTCTTTTTTCTATTAGTCCCTTCGAACAAAATTAAATTATGATAATATTAATTTAAAACTGTTTATTTTAGTTCCGATGAACAAGGTGGTGGTTGGGTTTACCCCGTCTCCAAATCTTAAAAAGGTTCAGTCCAAAGTTGGATCCCTGCAGAACACCAATCACAAGGTAACAAGTCACTGAGTTTTTTCCACAAAATCATTTATTCTAATGCCTTTATTTTTGTAACCTGAAGGTGTAAACCTTTGGCTTATTATACTTAGATTAGTTGATGAAACAGAGGCCGAATTTAATTGAAAATTAAACCGACTCGCTGATCCGCAAAAAACCGGTTCAAATTGAGCGGAGCGCCGGCTCAACCATATTTGAACCTTGTCTCATGTTTGAGCCGCGGCTCAAATTCTTTATTTTCAGCCTCAGAATTCATAGTTTGAAATAACTAAGTTATTGGGTTGCTCAGATATAGATATTAGAAATTAGAGTTTGTGGCAAAGACTATATTCTAGATTTAACTTTGATTTTTTTCTTCCAACTATTTAAGTGGTTTAAGGAACTGTTTGCTTGGGACAAATTCGAAATTTCGAAACTTATTTCTTTAAAATCCTTTCTAACCAGAGCTGACAACTTTAGAATGAGATATCCTTAATCACGATCGCTTTATCTGATTATCCAATGTTTACACTTTTGATTTTCTTCTTATAATCCTCTTTTGGGATATCTCTACTGTATAAAGTTGCAAATAATTACAGAAACAATGCTATATCGATTGGACTAATATCCGATTGAATTAAAGTCAGCTGTTCACAAGCCGACTTTTAGAGCATTTAAACAAATATAAATTTAATCATGTTGATATGAAATTATTAAAAAACATATTTTAGGACTATTGTCATTTTGAACACGTAAAAACATTAATCCAAAACCTACGTTCGTTTAATTGATGTATAGTTCAATTGATATATGCCACAATAAACACCAGAAATCAAAACCGGTTTTTCAAAAGTTGAAGAGTACATCTTAACATGACACGCTGATTGGTTAAATTTTTAACTTCTTTCTTCTTGGATATAGAATGCGTTTTAAAATAATCTTGGGTTTAGTAAAACCAGGAGTTTAAACATTGATCTTGATATCCACCATTCTAAAGTTTTCAGCTCTGAAATCCTGGGATAGCCATTATTACCCTGCAGATCTATCTTTAATTGATCCTCAAAGTGCGCATTTGATCTCGAGATCAAGCGTTGAAGATTAAAAATATTCACATAAAAGTTTCGATCTCTAAAGCTTCGTCATTTCGTTGTATAGTGATACCCTAATTTTAATTGAGGGATCAAGCATTGGATACTGATACCCTATACACCATAGTTCTGATCTCTGATGTCGTCGTACATTTTTCACATTTTAATCTCAAAGATATTGGAAAAATCAAAGTCTTATGGAACATCAGGATGCAAGAAAATAAGGGTTAACATATATAGTTTAAACTCTTAACTTAGTAAAAAGGTTTAGTAAAATACTTAATTACCTGAGTCAAATTAAATAATTTAAGTTTAAATGGAAACAGTAAACCATTTTTCATGTTAACGTTAGAGAAAGCAATGGAACATGGTAATCAAATTAACTAAAAAATTGTGTAATTACGAAATGCCTAATTACCTATTTAAGTTTCAAAGAAACAGGAGGGGGGTAACAGTAGGATCTTTAAATGTATGCATTAATTGTGTTTTTTAACTAATTTGTCCAGCCTTTCTTTCTAAATGCCAAAAAATATTTCACAAAACTTTCAAAGTAAAATGTTTAAAAAATGCATAAAACATTATATTCCTTATGTGGTTTTAAAATTTGATTTATATATTTTCCAACATTCCAAATTGTTTATTTTATATGGGTAATTTAATATGAGCTTTATTGATTTGTACATTGTACACTCGTTGCCTAGCAGGATACTTTATAAATTAGACGCTTTGCAAACATATAACTATGATGTCATTATCATATTGATATATTTTTATCAATTATGTATAACACTACAAGCCGATTTCTTATTTATGTTACCATAGGTACAGCTATAGGTCGTATCTATCTATCTACAATGCTCTGGTAAAGCGTAACCATAGTGTGACTATGGTTCTACCTATGGTAAAACGTCTAAGAAATTGGCCATATTTTTTGGTTTGCTGTGCTATGATTTTTTTGGACCGAATTTTTGAAAATTCTAGAAATGTCCTAATTTGTTCACTATAACTATTAAAAAAAATTTGCCATCAGCCATTTCTGGGAACTAAAATTATTATTTATTTGGGAAAAAACGAGAAATTCCAAAGTAATAACGTCACTTTTATATTTATGACTAATAGACTAATAGCATAATTCAGGTGTTACATAAACGTTGTCATTAATCATCGAAGACAATAACGGAATATTATTTTACAGTTTATTCTTTTAATTTTTAAAAGTTTGTCAAATTTGTTTGATCCATAATTTTATAAAAAATACATATTGTCAAAACTGAAATGTTTTTATTTCACTATTAATAAATATTTTCGCTATTTGATATTTTATTTAATATTTTTTGTTTTGAAAAACGTGAAGTTCTCTTTATGGACGATAATATTTTCATGCATTAAAGTAATTCTATTCATATTTTAGACTCAGTAATGGTCTCATCTAGGATCAATTAATTATAAAAAACAATTAAGTTTTTTACCTTTTATTTTTAGTAAATATATTCATTTCTATATTGTTTAATACAAAGCTGAAGTTGGATAACCTGCTGGGAAAGGTACAGGAGTAATAAAGTTCTATTCAAAACTTGAAGTTTCTAATTCGTCATTGTTTAAAGGGACTTATAGTCAACTTTTCAGATTCATGGTTCCCTCACCAAGGTTTTTTTAAATATCGAAAAAATAATAAATTCTTTTTTTGTTATTCTTCTGTTTGGTTGTTTGTTTGTCCGATCATAACTCAGGTACCCTTAGACCGATTTGCCTCAAATTTTGATTGGGGAACTCGGGAAAGATATGGGAATGTTCTTAGCGTGGTTTTAGGATTCTAAGTTGAGTGGGATAAAATCGTAAATAACGACCAAGTGCGGGTAAACGGCGGTCGGAAAAACTATGAGTAACCTGGGCAACTTTTTCCTTTTCTGAACAGCTGATGATTAAAAAAAGATTTGGAATCATATTTTGCAAGTTTTTTTCTCGGGAGGAATTTCGAGGTTGCAAATTCGTTTCAATAAAAATGCCTGAATTGAACCTTGTTACTTTTGTACTCTTTAGTTTTCCTTTAATTGCAGAATTCATTATCAGTTTTATAGTTATAGTTATAGTATTTATTTTCAAACATAAAATACAAAATAATAATATATGATGGTTCAGCTTAAAATAAAACACAATGGAAAATTATTATGAGCCAATTGAAAATATGATTTTTAAAAGTTTTGTTCTGATCGGTATTTGTTGAAACTGACTATATTCATATTGAAATCTCAACTGAATATACATTTATTGTGGATTTATAAGTAAATACTTAGTCAGCACTCAAATAATCAAAACATTTTCAGGAATGCATTAATTGAACTTATAAATACATATTGATTCAGCAAAAGTAACAATGTATTCTTGTTGACTGTAGTTGACTTTGACATCCACCATTAGCAAAAGGTGTGAACCCTTTCTTGTTGACAGTATAAAGGTTATATAAGGGTTGCGGCCCTAGTCCTGAATATGTTCTGTGGTGGGTTAATATTGTTTTGTTTTAGGCTTCCGACATAAAATCCAATAAACAATACATTAAACAATTATAAAACAAACAAAATTCTTTTTATTACACATTAAATTATATTATTTTTTGAGAATTAAATATAATGGCCTGAAACGTACATTTTTGGAAAAAGATTTACACCATTAGATTACAAATGTTTAGGAACCAGAAAATTTAAATCTGTGGCAATCTTAAAGTTATGTAAAAAAATCACCAAAAATAAGGTTAAAAGAAAAATAGAAACAAACTAAGAAACTGTCTCTTCCAGACTCTCTAATTACTGGTTTGTTGTCGCAATTTTGTCAAACTTGGAACCATTAATTTTAATTATGTGAAGAACATATAAGTATTAACACCCACTCGTTTCGTTCAAAATTAAATTAAAACAGTTTATAACAAAAAAAGGCAAAATGGCAAAAAATGCCAAAATTATTGCGTACAGCGTAGTTGCAAATGAGAACTAATCCTGTTAAAAAAGGGATTTTAAATAATGTCATCGAAGCAAAATTTTATCAGTTCTTTCTGCCGAACTGTTAAAGCATTTTGTATGTAATATCAAACCTGCCAAAACCGAAAATACGAACAATTTGTTCAAAATTAGGAATATTTTGTTCAAAATTAGGAATATTTTGTTATAAATTAGGAAAATATGTTCTAAATTATGAACAATATGAACAATTTGTTCAAAAATATGAATATTTTGTTCAAAATTACGAATATTTTGTTCAAAATTGCGAATATTTTTGTTCAAAATTACAAATATTTCGTACAAAATTACGAACAAGAAGTTCAAGATTACAAATAATTAGCTCAAAATTAAGAATATTTTGTTCAAAATTACAAACAGTTTGTTCAAAATTACGAATAATTTGCTCAAAATTATGAAAAAACTTATTTATCAAATTTAATTTCAGCCTGGTGGAGGGCAGATCAAGATCGAAACCAGGAAACTGGAATGGAATAAGGCTGCAAGGAATTTTATTTTATCATTTTCAAATATTTTTGAAAATTTAAAAATTTTCTATTTTTTTTAATTGCTTATTTATTTTTTTCCTCATTAAATAAATGAATGTGTAGCACAGAACTTTCTATGCAATTTATTTTTTTACAATTTTAAGAAGTAGTTACAGATCTTATCAAACTAATTAACAAACTGAATTTCTTGAACAAAATATTCAAAATATTTGTTGTTTTGGTTTCAGGATTATTATCATTTTTATTCTTAGAATTTTTGGATTACAATATTTTTCCTTTTTGTTTTAAATATTTGTATACAAAAATCTTAATTTCAGGATGTAAGTATAAACCGAGTATTTTGATTGTTAATTCAACATTTTTTTCTTCAATCAATCAATCAATTAATCGATCAATTAACCCTATTCCTGGCGGGGTCAATTTGACCCCCACCCCCTGTATTTTTTTTACATAACTTAAAAAGACTAAAACCGGGCTTTTATACAAACTGAATGAGTTCTCAGGCCTACTGCTTGAACGACAACTTTTTCTTGTAACAAATTAAATCTTTGTTTTGATCCACTTTCAGTTGTCAGATTTTGATTTTGGAAAGTCTATGATATAAGGAAACGGATTGCACAAGTTTTACAAAGAAATTTTTATTGTAAATTATTTGCATACAACACGTTAAAGGAAAGGAATTGAGTAATTGGAACAAAATCAAATGTTTAAACCCCAATATCTCTTGAACCCGATCTTGTAAACCTTTGATATTTCAAACTCAGATTATTTGATTTAAAAGAATTCATAGTTTGAAATATTTAAGGTCTACAACATTTGGTTCCAAAGATATAGTGATTAGAAAATCAGAGTTTGTGGCAAAGACTCAATTCCTTTACACATTTTTTGCTTTTCTTAATTACACATCAGGTTATTTAAGGTTTTTTTTAAAAAGAACTTGATTTTGCAAAAAATAAATTTTGCAAATTTGCCCAGCATATCCTGGTTTTCGAGTACCCCAGCAGGGATAGGGTTAATATGATAATGAACCGCATGTTGAATATACAATGAGTGGCTATATCTCCAGTGTGGAAATATGTATAAAGTTGGTACACTTGCATCCCATGTTTCAATGTCATTACTTTTTTTGCTTTTATGTTTTTGCAGTAATTGACGACAAGCGATGGATTTTCGACTTTACATTCCAAATTATTTTTGGGAATTCCATCCATTGTACGTTCTAACATAAATTGGATCTTTTTCATTTTATTCAATTTCATTGGAATGGTTTTCGATAATTTTTTTCTATAATGTTAAATTGAATGGCTGAGTATTGCATGCATGTTTTTACTTTGTAGTTAGGATTTTTAATGGTGGTATTTTTTTTTAAATTCGCCGTTTGAAAAAGAAAAATGTTAATGGGATAAAGTTATAAAGCCGACGTCTTTTTATGCTTTAAAATTTAGAAAATAATGATTGTTTATGCTTTTTTTAAATTTCAGTGTTGATATTTGATAAAATATTTTATTTTCGGAGATTCTTGTCTCTCCCCAGCAGAGGAATATATAGTTGCTTAGATACACATAAATAGATAGATAGAAAGAAAGATAGATTGATACCAAACTGTAAATATTCAAAAAAAAATTTTAGAAAAAGGTTTTAAAACTTTTTAAAAATTGCTTATTTAGTTTATATCTAAATCTCTCTAATCTAAAAAACATTAAACAAATATTTTTAAAATAAAGTTTTTTAAGTTTTAAAGCCATACTTTTTTTATAATCTATTTCTATCTATCTTATCTATAAATTTTAAAAGAATATAATCAATTGTTTTCCATCAAAATAGTATCATTGCCTAGCTTTTATAAACAAAACATAAAACACAACAAAAATCCATCAAAATAGTTCAAAAATCCATTAAAATGGTTGTCAGCAGATTTATTTCAATTCAATTCTTCTACAACACCAAGTTTTATTAGCATGTGTTAATCATGGATTAATTGAAATAACAGATAGAACACTAGATGTCGTCTTTTCAAGATTTAGGGGTTTTTCGTTCACAATAACCCTGACCCAGAAGCCCCAAGGAGTTATGCACAGCATGCTCTCTCTCACTCGTGTATGCCGAGTCCATTAGCGCCTGATCCTATCAGGGTTCAGTCATGTGTTTGTTGTCTATTCTGAACCAATAGAAATAGTATGGCGGTAACATCTATCTTTCTATCTATCTCATTATCCAATAAGAGTTACGAATGCTTTAATCAGCGCTATCAGTAAATGGAAATATTTACTTCTACTGAAACTATAGTTCTCTCTGTCTTGCAGTTCAACGCGGTTAACACTAAGCTTCTTTGGGTCTCCTCCTCAGGGTTATTGTGAACAAAAAACCACGACATTTAGTGTTCTATTTGTATTTTTATTAATCTATGGTGTTAATATTAAACTTGTACCAACTATAGATCAAAAACTCACTCCTTAATAAAATATGCAAAATGTTTCTTTTGACATTGCACTGTTATGCATAAATGAATAACATTATAAAAACAATATTTTTAGTATCCTTTTTTTTTTGTTAAAAAATAAACAAAATTGTTTTAACACAAGCCTTGTTGGAGAATGATATAGCAGCTCTCAGGGTTTTAAGGGATCATAAAAGTTTTAAAACAGCAAATCTAATCCCCCCTCCCCGAACAAAATATTCAAAATATTTGTTGTTTTGGTTTCAGTTATATAATATAATATATATATATATAATATGCATGACCTGTTCTTTAAGAAACTGATTTTTCTCTTTTTGTACCTTGATAATTAAAGTATGCATGTATATTGGAACTATTTACTCGTCCCATACTCTAATTTATAATCCTTTTACCAAGCTACCTACAATCTTTCATACTTTAACTCAATCTGGCAGAATTGACGACATCAGGTTGCAAAAATATAATGTAGTTTGAGGAGAGTAATCAGTTTCAATATATGATTATTTTTCAATTAAATTTCTAATTCATTTTGAATATGTTTAGATTGAACAGAAGAAGCTAAGTTGGAATGCTCAGTCTAAAGTTGGATCCTTAGGGAACACTTCTCATAAACCAGGTGAGCAGAGCCCGAAACTTAAGATAGAGTATCGTCATGAAACCCAGTATCGTAAACCCAGTCTCTGTTTTGTTGAAAAAAATATTTTTGTTTAGAAATGTCATGTAATTTCTTTACATTCTCTTTATCTGATTTTTTAAATGTAATATACGTAAATATATACACCCCAAAAAGGAAACTCGAGAGTTTAAATTTAAACCGGTGCTCAATTGAAATCGGTTTTAGTGTGATTTGGTTTAAATTCATTAAATTCGGACACTGTTATTTTTAACTTTTAGGGGGGGAGGGGTTATTTATTCTTTATGGGTTTGTTTTTATTTACATTATTGTTAATTTTCATATTCATTTTACTTTTCCATCGGAACTTTAATACATTAATTTTTAGATTTATTATGATAAATTATAAATCTATTTGCCATAAAATCATGTCATTACATATAACACTAAAACAAACATTACATATAACACTAAAACAAACATTACATATAACACTAAAACATACATTGCATATAACACTAAAACATATATTGCATATAACACTAAAACATACATTACGTATAATACTAAAACATATATTTGTTGACCTTTAAAAAAGGTCAAAAAATATTCTAATAAAGAAATCAGGAAAAACCCAAATATTCTATAACATTTATTAAAGAAAAATAAAANAACACTAAAACATACATTACATATAACACTAAAACATACATTACATATAACACTAAAACATACATTATCTATCGTCTTGAGGTACAACATTTTTTTTCTCACTTTATTTTGTTAAGGTGGCGGAACCCGAAAGATTGAGAGTAGGAAACTGGATTGGAATACTGAAAGTAAAGTTGGATCTAAAAACAATCTGAATCATAAACCAGGGGGTGGAAAAGTTCAGGTATATATTATCATCTTTGCATACTTTTAAAGGGAGTGTAGACGAAATTTGAAGTGATGACCCTCCATTTGAATAGTTGCATATCAGATTTGAACCTTGTTTGAGGAAAAGTACCGCTGGATCAACTACATACTGGGTACAATAGACAGGCTGGTACAAGTAAACACTACACCAGTCATTCCTTGTACCGGTTCATATCATGCAAATTTTTGAAATTTTGAATTTTCAAACTGAAAATTTATTATTTTCTATGGATGTTCCTATTTAAAACTGATTTATGCAGAAAGATAAAAAATAGCAATTGGTAGAATTCCACACGTTTTAGTATGACCAAAGACTGCAATATCTGCCCTATTGTTGGTGAGAAAAATGTTTGAAAGGTACTGTTGCGAATAGAGGTCACTTCAAATTAAGTGTATGCTCCCTTTAACCAACCTATGGGTTTTGAACGGAATTATTTAAAGTTTAAGATTAATATATATTATAATATATAGGATCTAGCTGCTAGAGTGAGTAAACCCCATGAAAACTATGCATGCAATTCACTATTTTTTGTTTGACAAAACAACATGCACCAATGCATTTGTTCTAATTTATGCATTTCACAATGTATATTAAGCAAGCTTTTACGACATAATAATGATCCTAATTGCTGTTTTAACATATTTCACAAGTTCACAAAACAAATCGATTCTAGATTTTTATCAAACACTCTGAACATATTTAAATAAGAACTGAACGAAATGTTTAAAGCATGTCTATTTCTTGTTGCGGAGTTCTTAAAATATTTTTCTCAGAGTGTAGAGTGGCTCAGAGTAGTAATGCAGAGATAACAAATAAAAAAAATATTATTGCTTCTAAACTTTTTAGATAAAGACATTGGTGTTAAAAATTACATGAATAAACAAATAAAACGTGTGTCAATGATTCAGCTATTTATAGGAAAGAGCCTATTTCTATGTATATTAAAAAATGTAACATTTGTATTGAAGACAAGCATTATATTAACATTAATAATCATTTTCATCTAAAAAAGTTCTGGAGTTATAATTTTTTTTATATTTCTTCATCACCAGCTTTCTTTGCAACATTTTGTCTGACTGCCGTGTTTGCACTTGTATAGATTCACAATGAGAAAATCAAGTTTGAAACCGGAAGCAGGATCGGATCCCTCGCTAATGTCAAGCATCGACCTGGAGGCGGAGACAAGAAGATATTCGACGACAAGGAATATATTCGACAGAGCAGTGAGACCAACTCAGCTAGGTCAGGGCCGGCCAGCTTGACTGGGTCAGCTGTAGGATCAAGCTGCCAGGTACAACTCACAAAACGGTCATGATCCCTTACAATTTTTTTTTGGTTTTATTTTTATGATTTTGATCCTATTATATCTAATTTATTACTTGTTTTCAAAGTTTTTTTAACACTTATTTTTACTTACTTTTATTTTTTTATGATTTTTTTATTTTTTATTTAGCTGGATTATGTGGAACGACGTATGAGCCAAAAAATAGTTAAAAATCAAGATCAGTCATCATACTCCAACCAGATTTCAAGAAAACTGGTATATTTATTCGATCAATCAATCAAATAATCAAATAATCTAACAATTGATCAGGTGGTCAAAACCAATCAAACAATTAAATAGTCAAGAAATGGAAACCCATTAGAGCAATTAGTCAAACATTTAATTAGTTTTCTGATCAATATAAGTCAACAAATTAAAAATTCATTAAATCAATTAGTCAACCATTTAATTACTTTTCTGATCAATATAAGTCAACAAATTAAAAACTCATTAAAGCAATTAGTCAACCATTTAATTAGTCAAACAATCAATTACTCAATTAATAAATAAATCAGCTGACTTTTACAGATAAATCAATTGCAGGGTAAAAACTAATAAAATAAATCATCAATGATTAATAATTTAGGTTATTACTTGGCCCAATCAAGAACTTATTAAAACACAATGAATTTTACCGCAATCAATTGAATTTGCAACCATCAAAGAACAAAAATCATTGAACAAATTTTAAATCAATCATTATAAAGTATTTATTTCAATGTGAAATAAAATCCCAAAAATCTATATAAAAAGCTTATTCAAGTCTAAAAATAAATCTTTAAAAAACTGGTTAGTTGACATTCAAATGTCCAGACCTTGGTATCAAAATAGATACAGCTGGCATATCGAAATAAAACTGACAATTTATAAAAATAATATTATAATTAATAAAAAATCTCTGAAGTAAAAAAACTTTTAAGAATTACCAATTTAACTTTGAGTGACTCTTTATTTAAACAGCACCAACACAAAACGGGCGTTTCCTTAGAACCTTATTACTTTCTAAAACTGCACGTTTGCGGATTTTCATGGAAGCAAATAGTGGATTTCCATAGATGTGTTGTGAATTAGGAGTAAAAATTTTTTGGAAACTTTCAATGAAATCTTTCAAATGTTTCTATTTTTATGGTCACTCAAAATTACGTTGATAACTTCTACAGAATTAGATTTTAAAAAACTCAATTATTGATTATTTAAATAATAATTTTAGTCTCCTATGAGCAGCGGTTATTAAAGTGTTGGTCAAGTCTCTTAATTTTACTTTATTTATTTATTTTGGTAAGTTTTATCTTTTTTTATTTTGTTATTCTAAATTTTTGTTTTTTTTTATTTTTCGTTTTAGGTTTTTTCATTGAAGCAATTTTGTCAAAACCATAAAAGTGAAATTAAAGAATAATCGGTTTTTTTTCTGGAAATCATAATGATTTAGATTTAAGCAAGTTGGAACTCATGAGTCACGAAAGCCCCTGATTTATTATTAAAATTCTAACCTTTGAAATAGAACCAAGGACAGGCAAGGATAGAAAGAGCTCCACATGTTCTTTAAAAAGACAGAATTAAATAAAAAAATGTGTCTCAAGAAAAAATTTTTACAATTTAATTGAATGAAAAAAAAGGGAATAGAAATTATAAAAAGTAGATCGTGTTGATTCCGAGCTTATTTTCTTTAAATGTCTTTAATTGAAAAAAAAGGTCAGATTTTAAATTTTTTGTTGGTGGATTTTCAAAAAATTTGGGCCTTATCGGTGTAACTGTTTTGGCGTTTCTTAGATAAAAAAACAAACAAGATATACACCCATACAAGCTCAACTAAAGTTTAAACTCTTGGTGGGATATTTGTTCTCTATTTAAAGAAGTTCCGTGTTTATTCATTACAAGAATACAGTACACTTTTTAAAGTGACCGTAAGCGTAATTTCAAGTGACCCTCTATGCAGAGATGGCATCGCTTGATTTACTACGTTACCCTTGAAATCGTTGTCTGATAACGTATGAATTAGATATCAATGTTTTTGTTTCTTTAAACAGTTTATTTCCGTTAGCGATTTCTCTGCTAATTTGATTTGCGCATTTCTTGTTTTATAAGAACCAATGGAGAAGCTCAAAGAAATTAACACTTTTCAAGTCAGAAAATAGCGGTAGCTTCCACATTTGATATCTGTTTATAGTTTCAAGGGTATCGTTGTGAGTCGGGCATTGACATTTTTGCATGCATAGTCACATGAAATATATTCTTATATAAAAGGAAGGGAAAGTTGAGTTCTCAGGTAGAAAAGGGTATTTTGGATAAATGTCAATATTCGCTGAACCTCTTTATATGAGAAATAAATTATCCCTCAAGGAAGTTAAACTGACTTTTTAAATCGGAAATACTTCTAAAGGAAGTTCAGTAAAGGGCCTCAGGAAACCATATATCATGAATTGAAAACCTATTGAAAGCCCTGATTATTAAATAATTTACAGGTCTATATTTACGGCGCCAGGAATGCCAAAGCTTGTCTTTCCTTCGTTAATAATTCAGAAAAATTAATCTTTTATAGATTTACTTCATTTCAGGCTTTAACCTTTACATTATAGTCCTTGACGAGGAAACATTTAAACTGTCCTTGGGAAACATTTAAACTGTCCTTGGGAAACATTTAAACTGTCCTTGGGAAACATTTAAACTGTCCTTGGGAAACATTTAAACTGTCCTTAGGAAAAATTTAAACTGTCCTTGGAAAACATTTGACCTGTCCTTAGGAAACATTTGAACTGTCCTTGGGAAACATTTAAACTGTCCTTGAAGGAATGGTCGGGAAACTATTTAGTCAAAATTTAGATAATTAAACCCTGATATATCGAAACTGTTTAATTTTAACTAAATTAAAAAACTTTACTTAATTTTAACTTTGAAAACTAGGACAACAGCTAAAATGTGCAAAGTTTCTCCAAATCCGTAATTAACAAACATATACATATTTGAAGGGTTATCTAAATGTACAAACTTGAAGGGGTTATCTAGATGTAAAAATTTGAAGGGGTTATCTAGATGTAAAAATTTGAAGGGGTTATCTAAATGTACAAATTTGAAAGGGTTTTCTTAATATACATATTTGAATGGGTTATCTAAATGTACAAATACATGTATAGATGACCTCACAAAAGTTTAGTCCACAAGGATGTTTGTAAAAGTGAAGAAATACAATATTTTTTATTTTCAGACTCCTGAGCCTCGTTTGACAGAGATGGGAGATATTTGAGTGGTTGCGAGCATTAGCTATCTATCTATCTATCAAACATCAGTTTTCTATGCACTGCATGCAACTTCATCTAGCGAACAATTTTGCACTTAAACTGAAGAAAACCAACACAGTATTCTTCAGTTTAACGATCACCAATTTTTATTCTAATTTCTTAAACCTTAAAAAGTTCATATCAATTTTTCAACTTTATACTTAATTTCTACTTAGAACCTTTCAAAACAGTGCCAAAATTGTGCTAAGTCAAGTTTAACAATTATCTCTTAAAGAAATGATTGTACAGATTGTGTAAATTACAACCACCGTGGCTCACGTAAACCAGTAATTTGTTCTAACTTTATAAATATCTTTCAATGTTTTTACAACACTATTTATGTATGTTTGTATAGTATCAAGAACGAAAAACAAAAAGAAAAATCTAAAAAATGTTCAAATATCTTTTTGTCTTTCATAATTGTGTACATTTTGAGAACCTGTAAATAAGCACCGCTCTCAAAATCTAAAAGTTATGCTAACATATTATCCAGGGCCGACGAAGACGACTGAAAAAAAAGAAATCCGCGAACAAGGAAAATGAAGAAAATAACGTTGCATCACGCTCACCCTCAGCACCGGCCTTGGAGCTCCTCAGTGACTCTGAACCAGCCCTTGAGAATGGAGATGCGGCAGATGATGATGAAGCTGTAAATGAAGAAGATGGAGGAGTAGTAAATGAAGATGCTGCTGAGGATGATGGAGAGGCTGCTGTGGAGGGAGATGCTGTTGTTGAAGAATTAGATGCTGCTGATTAGGAAAGAATTGGGAGTAAAATGACGACCATATATTAAACAGAAGATACAAGAGATGTTCAAATTGCTCCGAAGATTTAACTCCGGTTGTGTTATTTTTGAAGAAAATGATGTTTTAAAGGTTATTAAATATCATACAATGTCCATGTTTACATAATTAACTTTACATCTCTTGTACCTTATCTGTTAAATCGAATGATCGAAAGCACTTCACTATTATAAACATTTTGTTACTTTATTAATGACTTTTCTTAACACTGAGATATGTCCAGCTAAAAATGTGTGAAATATATCTAATATTCTGGTCTCAAATTTTAACGAAATGTCTGAAATGCTCTCGATTATTCGATATTTCTAACCAAATGTTAGGTTTTTTAACAATTCAGAGAAATATTTTATCGTCAAAAAAAAATCAAACGGCAATAGATACACTAACACAACTATTGAATCTTAATGTACACAAAATTAATATTCTCCGATTTTTTTCAATAAAGACATAATTGTTTTGTAAATTTCCAACCAATATTTAAAAATGGAAAGGAAAATTATTAAAAATAAGTAATAACAAAAATATGTCTAATCAAATCAATATTCTTAAGAGCACATACTATATAAAAATAGGAAATTAAAAAATATTTCCTTAATTCTAATCTAGTCGTGTGTAGTAAATATGCTATGATAGATATATGTTAAAACTATAAAAAATAATTGAATTTTAATTTTTGAAATCTTTATAAAAATTGAATTCCTTAGTTCAAAATCTGTTCTTCCCTGAATCGGCTCAAAAAGTTCCTATAAATTCCATAAATTCCAACTTGACCCCTCTTGGCTTCCAGTAAGCATCATTTTCTAACATTGTTTTTAGTTACATTTGTAATTTTGATGTTTTAACATTCACAATTAAATTAAAATTCTTCTGTTTTTGGATTTTTAAACCAAAATTTTTTTCTTGGCTACCCTTGAACTAAATATAGATTTTAAGGTTTTTCCATGAGACCAGAAACTTTTTAGAATATTAATCAAATTAAAAACAAATTTATTTGACGATTGAATAAAGCTATGGATTAGGATTATTGATTAATATTCTTTAAAGTTTTTGTTTCAAAATTCACAAAGTTTAAATATTAAAAGAAAAAACAAATATATAACTTTCTAAACATCATTTAATGTACCGATAGTTATGTACCTATAATTGTACTCCTTTACGTGCACTCATGTACAACTGTACATATGATCAACCAACATGTAAATCAATGTAACGAATAAAGATTGATGATATTTTTGCACATTTTCCTGCACATATGCCTGGATTGCCTGATTTTTTGGATGGGTTTGCGTGTTTTCTTTAGATGTGAACATAAGCCGTGCACTTTTGTAAGAAACCCATGTTTAAAATTTGTTTATAACAAAGACGACATTTGAAACCATCCCAAATTGCAGGTAGCCTTAAGGCGAGCGAAGTACCCTAAAGCTTGGGAGAAAAAGAAAGCTAAAAAACTCAAAGGAAAGATTTTGGATTTCTTGATTTAAAAAGTTCCTTGCAGAGAAAGTAGAATGTTTGTAAATTAAAGTAAACTTTAAGTCAATAGTGTATCTTTCGACCTACACGCATATCCGCTCTACTCCACTTCAGACATACGCACGATCCACTATATTACACTTACGTGACTTTACTACTGTAAGTTGGATTTGTGGCCGGAGCCCCCGGCCCCCTAGCTTGTCCTAGCCGAGGCGATGGGCCCCGTAACTGCAGAGCTTGGCCCAGATATTGTCTTTACTTTACCTAAACCTCAAATAATAGAAAATAAAACAGCTGTCGTAGGTTCTTTATTGCAGTAGGTCGGAAAGTTATTAGGTCAGAAGTTCAGTACAGAGGATATTGCGTATAGACGATGTAATGTAACTCTACCCTTTAAGTCGAGGAAGGAAAGTCAGAAGACGATATTTAAATGTCGTCTTAATGTGAAGTGTTCCAAGCCAAATTGATTAACCACAAAAGTTTAGACAAGAACTTTTGAATTTCAAGAAATGAATGGGTTAAACTTGATAAGAAAGGTTTTTATAAATGGTGGAATTGTTGTCTCTGAAATATCATAATTTGTGGGTAACAACAGAGAGAAGGTTTCCTTATTCTTATCAATTTTAAGTAACCTTTAGTTTAAAGATATATACAGGGATAGCCAGAAAAAATCTGAGATAAGAAGACGACTTTTAAACTCAATTTAGGACTTAAACTAGATTAATGAACTTTAGAAATAGCAAATTATACAGTGTAAATAGACTCTTTTCACTTAAATTGGGCTTTGCTAAGGTTACAAGTAAAAATAATTGCTTTGTAACAACATCAAAACACTTAAGTTTTGCTACAATGTCGTCTTTTTATTTCCCTTTTTCTCTGATTATCACTGTATGTTCACATTCATGCAGAGTAAGCGTAGTATTTACCAACTAAATTGACCAAGAGACGAATTAAAAATCTTCTCTGATCTTTGATATATCTACCAAATGACAAAGTGTGTATCAAAAATGATTTCAACATTTCAAAGCTTGCTATAATATATATATATATATATAATAATATATATAATATAATATATATATATAATATATATTATAATATGGTGAACCGTGTAAATAATGAAAAACTTTCTGTTGCTTGCCGTCGTTTTTGATGCACACATTGCTACAAGAAAATTATTAAAGCAAAAAAAATGCCATGTTTTTGGAGTGGTACACCCTACCCTTTGTCTGATTTTTTAATCTTGCAAGCATCCTTGCTTAAGATTTGGTCCTGACTTGATTTTGTTAAAGAATTCCAAGATTAAATTCTCACAAAATCTGGCGCAAAAAATACCATTTTTTAGAGGAAAAATACATTTACATTATCGACGCTCAGTTTTAAAACTATTTGTGTAATTTTTTTAAATTGACTCACACCGAAGAGCTGATGACCCATTCAAATATTACAACCTACAAAATCCAAAATAAGAGAAAAATAAAAATATTTTTCCCCTGAATTTCCGGTCTAAAGTCATAATCATTGGGTCGGGAAACTCAATTCTGGATTCTATAATGCATTTCCCCCTCTCCTTATAACATTCCCTATTTTTCATGATCTGAGAGTTACTTATGAAAACATTTATTCCTTTTCAAAGATTTTTGATAATGAAGACGACATTTCATATTTTCCAGGAATGTTCGAAAATCCAGCGCCAGCTAAAATAATTTTAAAAAAAACTAAATCAAAAATATTGATTAATTAATTAATTATTAATTAAGCGATTGTTATCGAACTCAATTCCATATCAGCCTAAACCCTATTCATTATTCGCCAACACTCCCTTTAAGTTGAATTACTTTTAATAAAATATGACAGAGCCCAGAATATGTAAAGCTTACTCAAACTATGATACTATGAAACAATCTTCACCTAACAGAAGGAGAAGGAGAAGAAGGAGACGGAAGAGAAGAAGGAGAAGGAGGAGAAGGAGGAGAAGAAGATAAAGAGGACCCGATAGACGAATCCCAAAATCAAGGTTTTTTTTAATTTCAGGGTTACACACGAAGAATAACTGTTCGATAACGACCTATAACTATTCTATGAGAGCTAATTATAAGATTGGGCAAAGAACTTTATCTGTAAACTATGCAATACCTATATCCTAAAAGAACTTTATCTGTAAACTATGCAATACCTATATCCTTAAAGAACTTTATCTGTAAACTATGCAATACCTATATCCTAAAAGAACTTTATCTGTAAACTATGCAATACCTATATCCTTAAAGAACTTTATCTGTAAACTATGCAATACCTAGATCCTAAAAGAACTTTATCTTTAAACTACGCAATACCTATATCCTAAAGGAACTTTATCTGTAAACTATGCAATACCTATATCCTTCAAGAACTTTATCTGTAAACTATGCAATACCTGTATCCTAAAAGAACGTTATCTGTAAACTAAGCAATACCTATATCCTAAAAGAATGGGATAACGATTAAAAAACCATCGTCACAACACGTTTTTGCAACGTTTTTCAACGTTTTTATAGCGTTTTTGGATTATTTTTAAAATATATAGATCCAAAATGCTAGACAAAAATTGGCTTTTCTCATATTTTGACATTCAAAAAATATTTAGACAAAAAACAAACCAAAAAGAATCAGGTGAAGGAATATCACAACTCCTGTAAGAAAAAATTCTGTTTCATTTTTTTTAAATTAACAAAAACATACCAATACGTACAGTACTCAAGGCCATACTAATATAAAATATTTTCAAGCAAAATGCTGCCAAATATGATTCTATAGTTGTTGTCGAATATATCAATAAAGACGACTTTAGATTTAAATTTGTTATTACTGTATTTTAGAAGAAACACAACAAGAAGGATACGATATTCTGGTTCTAGGGGAAGAGGATGAAGAGGATGGAGAAGGCGGAGGGGATGAAGATAATAACGAGAATGGAGAAGATGGAGAGGATGGTGAAGATGGAGATGAGGAGAAGGATGATGATGCAGAAAAAGATGATGATGGTGACAAAGAAAATGAAGAGGACGGAGAAGATGGAGAGGATGGTGATGATGTTCATACTCCATCCGCTCCTCCTGAAGAACTTGTCCAGGTACAGTGTTAGGTGATCTTATCAATACAAGTAAGTCGACTTTCGATTTCTATTTTGATTTATATAACAGCAGGATACACAAAAAAATAGAAGTCACGAGAAGCTGTCAATTCAAAAATCTTTTTCTCGATTACTTGTAAAATTGTAATTAGAAAACACCCTGTTGACAATCAAAGCTTAAAAAGTCGTCTTCGTTGTATTAATTTAATCGCTTACTACTGTATAAGATGAAGAATATTTGTTATGAATGTGCAATCCAAGAAGTGTATTTTGATATAGTCTAAGAGGAGTAAGGAGTGAGGACTGTCAAAGGCTAGGATCAATTGCTAAGAAAATTAACGGAGAGTTAACTAGATTTTTAATTATTAATATATATATATAAATATTTCTTTATTTTTACAGAATTAAACAGAATTTTTTTGAGAAATGTTACTTTTTACCTCTTTTGGGCACTTACTGTTTTATTTAGTTTATAGTTACTTACTGTTTTATTGTATTTTGTTAAATTCAAAGAACTAATTAGAATTGTTTACCCTTTTCCGACATTTTATTAAAATTCAGTTCAAAATCATTTATAAATTATTTTATGCGTATAATTATTTCTATTTAATATTTATAATATTCCGCCTAATGTTTCCTAGAAAAAGGATTTTATGAAATAGCGAGAAGTTGTTGAAACAATTACCGGTCGTCCATGGACAGAAAGGGTTCAAAATAATCTACGCGGCTTAACTAATTCTACTATTCATTTAATCTTATCTCTACATAGCTAAACATGCCAAGACAATATAGGTCTGGGGGCTCATAAGGGTTTACGCATAAATGTACTTTTAGTTCAGCACCAAAAACTGTCAATCTTTTGAACTACAAAATGTGTTCTACCGTTTTCGCACCTTTTAAAATTCGACAATGATTTTAAGAAAGAACTCTGTTTGTGTAAAACTTATATCTTTGCGACCCAATGTCAGACCTTTGATAATTTAGATCAAATAGTCTAAGTTTAAAATATCAAAGGTTTTCACCATCAGGTTGCAGGGATATAGGGATGGAAAAATTGAGTTTTTTGCTGCACCCTGTAGAACGAAAACATTAATGACAGAATTTTATTCTTACCCTTCTTGATTTTAGGATATAGAAGGAGGGGAAGGAGGAGAAGGAGGGGAAGGAGGAGAAGGAGGGGAAGGAGGAGATGGGGAGGATCAGATAATTTCAAGAATTGATGAAAACTCCGTGAGGTTATATATCCAAGGGAAGCCTATTGTACTGCAAATACCAAAACATCTAGAAACATCATACGAGTAAGTAAAACTTTCGATTTCGTACATCTTCCCATTAGACATTTATTCATTTGTCCTTTACTCTTCTTTGTCCTTTACTTATTTGTCCTTTACTTCTCTTTGTTCTTTACTCATTTGTCCGTTACTTATTTTTGTCCTTTACTTCTTTTTATCCTTTAATTCATTTTTTCCTTTACTATTTGTCCTTTACTTCTTTTTGTCCGTTACTTCGTTTTGTTCTTAACTTCTTTTTTGTCCTTTACCTCTTTTTGTCTTTCACCTGAATTTATGAATTTTCTACACATTTTTTAGCTTACATTTTTTAAATCAATTTCTAAAATGAGATCTGTTTTTTAGGTTGTCTAATGAACTTGAAGCTCCATCCCTGTCTCCTAGTGTAAACTGGGTTTATGGGTACAGAGGGAAGGATACAAGGTTCAATATTTTTACTGCATTTTTTGGATTAAGTTGAAATACTATAATTTTAGGGCGCTTCGCAGCCATCTTCTATTTCAATTACAATATAAAAAATAACAAAAAAAAGTTTGCTCATTTAATGATAGATTTTTGCACATTTTCAAATATCAAAAATTTTGGACACAAATTTTTGTAATTTTGATCATCCATAACCCTTCTCTGAGGTCATGTAAGGTCTAACACAAAATTTGGGCCAGATCGGTTCAGCCGTTTAATTTTTGCATTATTGTGTTAGCACAGTGATCTAATTTATGCATATTCTGAAGTGAATATTATAATAAAAAAATCTTTTAAAATAAAGTTAAAAAGTATCTATACCTGTAGCTCAAAAATATGTATGACCAAGAAAAGTATGATAAGGGTGGTAGGGCATAAAAAGGGAAAAAATAGTTGAACGCATGCTCTCTCTCTGTCTGTCTTGTAATTTAACGCGGCATCACTTAACTCCTTTGGCTTCTACCTCAGGGTTATTGTGTACAAAAACCCCCTAAATCTTGAAAAGACCACACCTAGTGTTCTATTTGTATTGTTATTAATCTATGATCAATCCGGTCTCAAAAGGTTTTGCATTATTTACAAACCAGTGTGATTTTTTTGGGAAACATTTCGAAAATTTAGAATACGTTCAAGACCTTTTCAATTATTTTATTTTAACTTTCACTTTTATTAAAAATGTATAAATAAACAGTTTTTTATGTGTTTTATTATTTGGCTTTTTATTCTATTTTAAACAACTGCAGTACCCACATTTATCAAAATGATCCATCTAAAGGGTGTCCCAATAAACATGGGAATTCAGTGACGAATTCGATATCGTTCTTTTAAATAATTCTTAGATTTAGTGTAGTGCTACCTGCTGAGAAAGCTTTAATCTGTTCCGTCTGCTATGTTCACATTTTGTTTGTTGATGTTTTGACTACATACGGTTGTACAAACAGAGCAAACTTGTCCGTCTTCACTGTTCATCTTGCGGATACATTATAGACACATCTTTACAGCCATTTACCGTTTTCATAAAATAAACTCTAGCAACCGTAATAATATTATGGCTTTTGAAATCAGGTATTACCATGCCAATTCGTAACAAAGACAATATCGAATTCGTCACTGAATTTCCATGTATTTTGGGACACCCAGTAATATCCGTTCATTCAAAAGAATATAATGATTTTTTGAACTGCATCAGGTAAAATAACATTATCTCATTTCAAAGTGACGGTCATCGTGATTTCAAAATAAAATACTGTGCTTTTCTATTTTAACAGTGTTTAATTCTGACAATTTCTTTGATTGTCTGTGCTGCATAAACCTACAAATCCACAAATCCACAAGTCCACATAAATTAATAATAAGTTGAGTTGTATTGTTATGAATCAGGCATAAGTAACACTGAAACTTTAAGTTATAATTTATTTAGATCCAACCTATGGAGTCTGCCTGAGACAGGAGAAATATTGTACTTTACCGCCAGTATTGCAGTACTGTACAGTCCGGAGTCTCATGTACAGCGGCACTACCGTGGACACACAGACGATATAGAGTGCTTGTCTATACACCCACAGCTGCCTCTTGTAGCTAGCGGTCAAGGAGTAGGCACAAATTCATCAGAACTAGATGGAAGTCATGTTCAGGTTAATCTTTTTAGAAGCTGAACTAATTTGCATAAACCTGCGAGATTATAAAATGAATTTTAATAACTATTTTTAACTGAGAAAAGTTTCATTATTTTTCTCAACCTGTTTGTATACACATGTAACTAGTTTGTTGAATAGTATTTGTTACATGGTTTGTCCATGATATTTAAGAATTGTAAAAACAACTTTCTTATGCTGGCTGATTAAACAACTGGTGAAATTTTACAAACCACTTTACGCTCTTACTTAAGAATTCTCATTTAAAATATGTTACATACCCGGTCTTCCCCTTTAAGTAACAACAAAATTTCATCAAGAGAAAAGATATGTATGTTCACATATTTCTCGTTTCTTAAATTTGCAGCACCAGTTTATATTTTTGGTGGCTTTCAAGCTTTTTATATCTTATATCTATGAAAATGAAAGTTGCCTCTTTCTATGTGTTTTTTAACCTGTCCTTTTATGAACTTAAAAAATGAAATGTGTCTAAAATTAATCAGAGACAGAAAAAAAACAGAAATAAATGTTTAGGTCTGGAATTATGAAAACTTAAATCTTATTCATATTCTGGGGATCGGAGAATTTGAAAATAAGGTAATTTAAATTTTAATTTGATTAAACTAAAAAAATTGTATCTTAAATGAATTATAATTATGTATATATATATATATATCTCGTTAAAAGAATGTTTTTTAATTTCTTTAATTTCTTGTATTTACTAGAATTATTCAGATCAGAGATAGGATTTTTGTGTTTTCGTTTAAATTATTGTTTATTTATCAATTCTCTTGTTTTTTACTTTTTTTCAGAGGAAATATTGAGTTATATAAATCTTTACAGAGATCATTAAAATCAGGATTAACAAATTAAAAAAAAACCTTTTCCCCTAAATTTTGAAAATTAATCTTTAACAAATTTTTTAGATCACATGTTTGGCATTCTCAGTACAAAATGCCGAAGGAGAATCTAAACTAGCAGTAGTAGACGGGGCAAAACAGGTGAAATTTTTGTAATAAGGAAAAAAAATAATTTTTTTTCGGGCTGCTTAACAAATTTTAGTATATTTTAATTTGTTGTGGGTACAAAATATGTAAAGTATAAAGAGGAAAGAAAGATAAAAAAAGTTTGAAATTATTTTAAACAAGTCAATGCGCAAAATCTTTTTATTTAATTCTAGGAAAATTCCAAATTACCAAATTCCGTCAAAATTGTCTTTTCCAACATAAAAATTTGGTTTGCAATTTTATTACAAAAAAATCAGCACCATTGCTGTACAAGCAATAATATTAAGAGCAATGATTGGTATTATATTGAACAACAGAAAGTATAGACACTAGAAAATATTATTGTGTCATACCAATTTCATTTTTGTGTTTAATTGCAATTTTGCATATAAGTTATCTAGCTTTACGGATCAATTGCGCAATTATTACAAATATTGCAAATGAAACCCTTTAAACGTTATAACAATGTTTTTAGTGTTTTAAAATCCATTTGTTTTTGTTCTAGCCGAATATATCTGTTTGTTCTAGCCGAATATATCTGTATGTTCTAGCCGAATATATCTGTTTGTTCCAGCCGAATATATCTCTTTGTTCTAGCTGAATATATCTGTTTGTTCTAGCCGAATATATCTGTTTGGTCCAAGTTTGAGCTAGCACAGATTGCTCCAAGGAAACTAACCGCTTCCACTGCATCCTCGGATAAGGTAAGATAAGTTAATAAATACTAAGTAATGTTGGGGGGAGGGGTGCTGGTTTGGTAGATTTGTTTCTGATGTTTTTAAAAATATGTCTTTGCCAAATTAACAAAAAATTTATCACGCACGGACTAGTGCTTTCTAATAAGATTGAAAAAATTAAAAGTTGCAACCCCATACAATTGAATAATATTATATTTTATGCATAGCATTTTAATGGTAGTAACCATTTCTAATGACAATTTTAACCTATAGTTGTTACTCTTTTTGTCGCTATTTTGACGTATATTTGATACAAATAGAAAAGCAAATTTTAATATCGATATTTGTATTTAAGGTGCTGTCTGTACGGTTCTACGACAAACGGCAAAATATTCTGGTGACTGTTGGGAAAGCACATATGAATATCTGGTCTATTGAAGGTTTGGTTTGGATTTTTTAAAACAAATTTGGAGTCCTAGGGGGCATTTATCAATTTTTAGAAACAAGGGCGTTGAAATTTTAAATTGTTTAAGGCGTTCCATGGCGTCTGGAGTAAAAATGTTTGTTTAAATTTTCCCTTTTGACCTTTAAACAGAATAATTCATCAAAATTCTTCTAATTTAGGTGATATTCTGATATTCTGATATTCTAATTTAGGTGATATTCTGATATTCTGATATTCTAATTTAGGTGATATTCTGATGAGACGCCAAGGATTATTTACCAAGGTAAGAGTTAAAGGGACTGTAGGATTAATTTCAAGTGGCGTGTTTCATTCAAAACAATATTCTTTAAACCTTTAGTAGTTCTCTACATAAACCCTTGTAAATTTAGTACAATACATGGAAATGTAGAATTTGTTCTCAGTACAGCTGTATTCTGAAGTGCAACTTAGTTCAAGTGTCCGACAAAATTATTAATAATAGTGATAATTTTCGAATAAAATGTGAATCTTATGCAGTACGCTTTTGGAGTAAAAGGGGAGGTTGTGTATCTCTGAACCGTTTATTTACGATGAAATATTGCTCTCTAACAGACTGTCTTCCTGTGATAAAGTAATCCTGCATACGATAAAGGAGTGGTTTAAATATTTTCAGAAATCACCCCCGAGTACTGTAATATACAGATTGACTTTTGGAAATGGAGTACATGGCCTGTACAACTAGTAAAGAATTAGCGTACATCATCACTCTATATACTACAGGGTGTCCCAATAAACATGGGAATTCAGTGACACATTCGATATAGTCTTTTTAAATAATTCTTAGATTTAGTAAAGTGATACCTACTAAGAAAGCTGTGATCCGTAAGATTTATGTCTGCTATGTTTACAACTTGTTTGTTTATGTTTTGACTGCATAAGGGTGTACTTAGTAAAACAAGAAAATTACAGTATACAAACAGAGTAAACTTGTCCGTCTTCATTGTTCATCTTGCGGAGACATTATGACACATCTTTACAGCCTTTTACCGTTTTCATTGAATAAACTCTAGCAGACATAATAATATTCTGGCTTTTGAAATTAGGTATTACAATGCTATTTCATTACAAAGACGATATCGAATTCGTCACTGAATTCCCATGTTTATTGGGACACCCTGTATAACCTCGTTGTGGTTTCCTGCCACCCTCGAAGATGATCTAAAGTTTGACGGATACTGTTGTAAATTTCACTCTTTGCAGAAGACCTGGTCACTTGAATTTGAATACGCTTTGTCATCTCAAGAAATTTTAATTTTAAAACTTATGATTCTTTTTTCAGAAAATTGATCGTCCGAAGTATGTTATCTGCGTGGCCTTCGCAGCTTCAGGTCAAATTTTGAACGGATTTATTATATTCCTTCCGGTATACAATACTTAATTTCCGGCATACCATATTTTACTTCCGTTAAACCATCGGGTTTTTTCAGTTTACCATATTTTACTTACGGTATACCATAGTTTACTTCCGGTAGACCATATTTTACTTCCGGTATACCATAGTGTACTTCCGGTAGACCTAATTTTACTTCCGGTAGACCATATTTTACTTCCGGTAGACCATAATTTACTTCCTGTAAACCATATTTTACTTCCGGTATACCATATTTTACTTCCGGTATACCATATTTTACTTCCAGTATACCATATTTTACTAATAATTTTGCATCATTTTACCACATTTTACATAAAATATGGTTTACTATATACTATTTATTTTACATCAATAATGATAAAGAAGTGAGTCTATGCCACAAACTGCAATTTTCTAATCCTTATATTTTCCTTCCTGATTGTGTAAACCTTTGAAATTTCAAACTTTGATTATTTGATCTGACAGAATTCATGAATTTAAATATCTAAGGTCTACGACATGGGGTTGTAAAAACAGGGATATATTGGAATGAGAAAATTAAAAACTTTGCAGAGACTTAATTCCTTTTAATATGTTATGCTTTGAACAATTTTATGTCGAAATACTCATTAAGTAAGTGTGCAAATATATGTTTGACGAATAATCTTTAAAAATGTTTTTTGTTAAAGTTCAATTCTGAACTTGTACGTTTGTAACATGAATACTTGTCGCAAACTGAAAAATTTCTAATCCCTTTTTCTTTTCAACTTCTTGATATATCAAACATGTTTTAAGATATTAACGGGAGAGTTCGCTTAAAATAAAAGGTAAACTATAATAAGTTCTTGGGTATTAATTGTTTTTATCATTTTCTTCTTATAGACGCAACAGATAGAATCAAAATTTAAAGCGATTGAATCCGACCTTTTTAGGTTTCAGTCTGAACCCCAATTAATTTTTCGCAAACACTCCCTTTAAAAATTGTCAAAATGAAACGATTAGAGTTTGAGGCGATTAACTTTTTGTATAATATTAGGAGAGATATTGACGGGGGACAGTGAGGGAAATATTATGGTTTGGAGAAGTGTTAAGGTCACAAGGGTTCTTAAGGTTAGTTAAACCAGATTTAACTTAACAAACCTATCCTCCTCAACAACTAAAAGTGCTAGGGATGTGAGATGCGGTGAAGAAATTAAGAAATCTGATTTGGGTGTCGGATGTGGTGCAATACCATTCATGCCTCCCCCCCCTCCCCATATATACGAATGAGCAAAAAGCCTCACTTTTTGAAGTCGATGTATTTCTGTAAAACGTTAAGAGTCTAAAACTTTTGGTTGGCACAGCGCTTAGCTATATCGACTTAACTGAACAGGCTCAGTGGAAACTTTTAATTAAAAAATTTTGATTACTAGAATATACGATAGACACATCAAGAGATAATTAAGAGTTATGTCGAAGGTTGTAAGGGAACCGCCTGAGTTAGTTAAAAACAGATTTAAAACTCAAAAGTTTTTAGCTCAGTTTAAACCATTCCTAAAATATTCAAATATTTAATTCTGTGGGATGTGAAACTAGATTAGGAATACTAAAGTTAGAATCTAATTATTTTAAAATTCATTCTTTTGATGTTTTGACGAGTTAATTTTTAGCCAAGAACAGAATTCTGTAAAATATTCAAGGGAGGGGGGATACAGGGTTAATTCACAACAATGCCCTTTAAAATTATAACGGATCAAGAATATTATAATTCTGTTACTATTTATATATATTCAAATAAAGAAGTTGCATTGCTAAACTAATAATAATAAAAACAATAAAAACATAAAACTGACAACATGCTTTTATTTGGCAATTTGATTGCGCCTAAATAATTCATTACGGGCTTTTTCATCCGCGCAAAATTTTGTTGCAAGCAATTTATTATTTTCACAATTTGAGCCATGGCATCTTTGAGCAAAATGATGGACTTATCTGTGTTTTTCTAAATTTATAATATTGCACTTTATTATCGATTTTTTCTGCCGCCCCAAATTTAATTATTTTCTTCTGAGATCCCGTTTAAGGCTCGATTTTATTTTTTAATCGCGCGTAATGCTAACGTTATTTTTTAGGGCGCGCATACTGGTCCTGTATCAGATATTTGTGTGCTTGAAGATGGATCGTTTATCTCTGGAGGGGTTTCTGATGGTACACTATGTATATTCAACAGTACATACGAGCTAATAGGTAATAATTCTAGTACATTCTCTATATTCAACAGTACATACGAGCTAATAGGTAATAATTCTAGTACATTCTGTATATTCAACAGTATATACGAGCTAATAGGTAATAATTCTAGTACATTCTGTATATTCAACAGTACATACACGCTAATAGGTAATAATTCTATTGCAATCTATATATTTTTTTAAATGTTTAACTTAATTTTTTGAAATTGGAAATCTAGGGTTTTAAGATGAAACAGAAGTAAAATTAAAATGACGGATGTTTATTTAAGGGGTCGGAGCCACTCTACCCGACCAGTTTGGAGGGGTGAGGAGAATATTAAAGAAATCCTTTAAGAAAATTGAAGAAACTAGAACAATTCATCTTATAATAGGAACTACCACCAACAGTATTGTAGAGGTGAGATAAAGGGATTAAATTCGCATTTTTCTATAGTGAACACTGTGTATATCAATACAATTCAGACAAATTTTCTATTATGTGTGATTTCAAATAGTTTTTTTTTTCAAACTACAAGTTTACAAGTGAACAAAGAGAATCTGTTAATATTGACAGGATTTCTTTGTTTCCATGTTTATGTGTATCCATGCTGTTTGAGAGCTTATAGTATAGAAATCAAAGCTTAAATAGAAACTCGATTTTAGACCAAATGCCCTGATTCCGAAATTTAAAAGAGTATTGTTGAACGAAACTTCAGAGTTTCCATTTTGGGTCTAAACTTTTCGTAGATTTAAATTTAAGAAATCAGAAAACAAAAACACAAATATTGATATCTACAAAATTGTCTGACCCCATTCATGGAACCGGGTTTCCGATACTGGGTTTCATCATGGTACTCATCTTAAGTTTTGGACTCTGGTGGTGGTTAACTGGAAACTCGGGTTCATTTGAAGTATGAAGTTGTGCACAGAAATACAGACTACAGAACAGAACAGGACAACAAATGAATCCTCCCAAGAGCCCGAAATTTAAAAGAGTATCGTTGAACGAAACTCCCGAGTTTCCTTTTTGGGGTCTTATCATTTGTGTAGATTTTGTTTCAAGAGATTCGAAAAAAATGGAGAACATAAATCAAGTGAAAAAAATAATATTTTATTACAAAAATATTGATATTCATAAAACTGCCTAACCCCATTTGTGAAACCCGGGTTCTAAAACTGGTTTTCATAACGATACCCTGTCTTAAGTTTTGGGCTCAGTCCCCTTCTAGTTCTAGGGAGTTTAATGTTTAATGTGGTTTCTGTGTAAAAAGGCTGTGTGGAAGTTTTAAGAGCTATAAAGACTTTCTATTTAGTAGTCTGTAGTCTGTAGCCTGTAGTCTGTAGTCTGAAGTCTGTAGTCTGTAGTCTGTAGTCTGTAGTCTGTAGTCTGTAGTCGGTAGTCGGTAGTCGGTAGTCGGTAGTCTGTAGTCTGTAGTCTGTAGTCTGAAGTCCGTAGTCTGTAGTCTGTAGTCTGTAGTCTGTAGTCTGTAGTCTGTAGTCTGTAGTCTGTAGTTTGTAGTCTGTAGTCTGAAGTCTGTAGTCTGTAGTCTGTAGTTTGTAGTTTGTAGTTTGTAGTCTGTAATCTGAAGTCTGTAGATTGTAGCTCAATGATGTGAATTGGAAGAAATTAAACGTGTTTGTGCAAATTTTAACATCATGCACAATGTACGTAGTTATACGTTCCGACTGCAGTACAGTATTTAAAACAAAACCAACCAAACCTAGTAAATATGTGCCAGGGAATGCTGCGTGTTGTAGAGGGAAATACTGAAGTACAGGACTGGGAAGTAGATCGAGTAGTTCTAGGGCATTATCAGGAGGTCTGGGGGCTTGCTGCCCATCCTACCAGGTACATGAAATAATACTAGATAAGAACGTCGCCATCTCCTATGTAAAAACTCTTATAACTTTAATTTTACGCACAAGAATGAAATGTAAGTTTAAGTATTGTCCTTTACAAATATGAAAATGTGTTTAAAACAAGAAGAATTCAAACTAAAGTTAGAGAAAATAGTTAAAATTTCGCTGATCAATATTTAAAAAATTTATATATATATACATGTATTTTTTAATTCAGGGATATGTTCATGACTGCAGGTTATGATGGAAATGTAATACTGTGGGATGCCGTGGCTCATGTAGATCGCTGGGTGGTTCAAATAAGTGGACAGGTACCATAATATTATAAACCTTGTTTTTTTATTTGTAACAATAAGTGAACATCTGCAGTACAGTGTCAAATGTTTGTTGTATATGTGTATTTTACCAATCTTGAACTGATCTAAATGTAAGCCTATATAGTATACAAGCTTGGAAACCCAGCGTTGTACAGGGTACTCTATAGTTACTTCCGCTGTTTACCCGCACTGGTCGACCAACTCAAACTAGAATCATAAAACCAAGCTAAGAACATTCCTGTGGGGCTCCTCAGTTCCCCATTCAAAATTTGAGGCTAATTGAACAGGGGGTTTCTGAGTTATGATCGGATAAACAACAGAGATTACACCTTTATATAGATACTGCTGGAACATAACTAGCTCTATCTTAACAAGTGTTGTGTTTGTTTAAATTTTGTCTAATTCTCTAAAAATTAAAAAATCAATATTACAAAGGTGGCAAAGTTTTTTGGTTTTATACCTTTGCTAGAATCCCCATTCCCCAATAAAGAAATTGAAATTTTATTTAAGTTCAATCACTTGAGTGTGTTCACTGTTCAGGCCCGATGTGTTGATATATCGCCTAATGGTGAAGTTTATGCTGTTGGAACACTAGGAGGAGTTCTTCATGTGGGACTCATGGAAACAAAGGTATAGATAATAATAATGATAAATAATAATAATAATAATAGTAATAATAATAATAATAATAATAATAATAATAATGATACCAATAACAATAATTATAATAATAACAATTTCAACAATAATAATAATAATAACAATAAATATAATAGTAATAATAATAATGATGATGTCGATGATGATGATGATGATGATGTCGATGATGATGATGTCGATGATGATGATGATGCCGATGATGATGATCATGATGATGATCATGATGATGATCATGATGATGTCGATGGTGATGTAGATGATGATGTCGATGATGATGTCGATGATGATGTCAATGATGATGTCGATGATGATGTCGATGATAATGTCGATGATGATGTCGAGTATAATGTCGATGATGATGTCGATGTCCTAAATTTTCATCAAATTTTTATTACTCCAATATGTTCTTTTTCTTTTCTTTTTAAACAGAGTCGAAAAATGTAATAAGAATAATTAAATAATGTTTTTAAAGGCAAAAAAATATTCCAAGACCATCCACTTTCATTTATTATTTTCTTTTTACGAAGATTTCTTAAAAAATTTAATCCAGCTTTCATTCTTAATCTGTAATCTATTTTATGATAAAAATGTTTAATGGAATGAAAAAATAAAAGATAGAACCATAGTGTAAACTGTAAAGCGTGAAATTGTGATAATGAAAAGACAACAGCTCCGAATTTTGCAGTATGATAAAAATCGAATAACGTTCAACCTTTTTTAAAGTTTATTAACTATATCGGGAGCTGACTTTTCGTTTCAACCAAATAATTTATGTTTATGAGAACACAATATGTGTGACAAAAAAAATATTAGATATATTTTCAGAAATTCAAATCTATAATCTTCAAATGGATTTTTTTGCATTTATTGAAACCGAATATATGCAATGAAAGCTATGAAATCAATATACTTTGCAATAATTTTTAGATTTCATATTCTGATCGACTAAAGATTGACTAAATATTGACATTAGTTTCAAAGCTTAAATGGCTTGAATTGGCCTGAAAATAAGCTGAATCACAGACAATGCTTCCAATTAAAGAAAGTCTTATCTTGAGTTTTATTCATTTGGGTTCATATACTTGTTCGACGTTCTTACTATATCTGTTGTTATTATTATCAAAGTTAAGCACATAAAAACCATTAGCTGAAGTGTCTGACGTTGCCTGTGGAATTCTAAAAATACTCGAAAACTTCTAATTTAGCAAAAAAAATCTAATCTTCAAAAAGAAAAGGAAAACGAATATATATGTTGGAATAGTTTATTTTTTATTTTAAATATAAAAACTGAATAAAAGATAATGATGATAGTTTCAAATATATATGGAAAAAATTATGTTTAGAATAATCAAATAAATAAAAAAATAATATCCTAGGAGCATATGATTATGAAACATGACGAAGGGCTAAATACTCTCAAGTTTAGTCCTAGTGGAGAATATCTTGCTGTAGGAAATTACATTTTTTAAACAGAAAATTCTGGCGCTTCGCGTTCCTCTTTCCTGAGTTTTTTATCTGACATTCGCCCTTTTTCCAGTTGACACTCTCTTAATATTTTTTTTTTTTTATGAAGATCCATCATTTTGCATTTTGTCATGAAATATCTTTTTAGGAGAGAATAAAAACTTTTGATTAATCATTTAGTAAGAATATTCTTTAATTTTCCATAATTGCACATTTATGTACGTTCTATATTCCTCTCTAGGCTTCAACTTTCCTCATTTCAAAACTTTAACATTCTTATTTCAACTTTAAAACTAGAAATTACGTACAATACATCAAAGACCGTTAAACTAATATTTAACCCCAGTCTCAACCATATGTGGGTGGGGGGGACTGGTGCCAATCCATTTGTAGTATCGCTGTCATTTTCAAAATTGCACGCTGTTTTTGTTTACAAAAGAGTTATGAAGGGACAGCAGATGTTGAAATGTAAACGAAAATTGAAAAACTTGCAAAAAAGTGTTTGTTGTGCTATACGTGACTGGGTCTGTTAATTAAAAAATTGCTTATTTTTTCAGTTAATTTACAAAAAAGTTAATATGAGTGATTTTTTACTGAATATCAAATTAAGAATTTTATTCCATATATCGCAATTTTCTGCTTTTTTTTATTAACTTCATCCTGGTTTAACCCTATCCTGGCTGGGCTTTTTTTTTGTCTAACATAGGCTGGGGGGGGGGTGTTTTCCAACCACCCCCACCCCCCTATGATTTTGCCCTTGGAGTTCAGATAGGGGAGTGTGACACATGTCCAACTTTTCAAGACCTATTCATGACCTATTCAAGACCTATTCAAGACCTATTCAAGACCTATTCAAGACCTATTCATGACCTATTCAAGACCTATTCAAGACCTACTCATTGACCTCTAACTTTAATGGTTATGGTGCAAGGGAGGATTTTTTAAAGGTTCAAAAAGTACGTCGAAAAAATGTTTTAAAATAATTATTTTTAGTTTTGACAAATATTAANTTCCTCCACCCCCCCCCAGCCGTGATAAGGTTAAGAAAAATGTAAAGGATGCAGTTTACTTTAATTGGGCGTGTTTGATCAGTATAAATAGTTTTAAAAATCCCTTTAAAAATTGTCTGTCTTCTAATTTTGTTCATTTTATTATTGATTTTAAGATGTATAAAACGTCAGGTTCTCATGACATGAAGATCCATGTGTACAAGCTAGGGGAGAAGGGTATTGAAGATATTTCAAAGGTAGGATGGATGGAAATTAAAGAATGCTAACAACGCTTATAACTTAAATACTACTACTGTGCATCGGACTAAATTTCTACAAAACCTTAAACGCATGTACATGCTTAATTCGTCTTGAAGTGTGGTCTAGAGGTTACCATCGTACATTCTTTGATCAGAGGGTCACTTTCGACTATGAATCATTTTAAACATTATTTTAATGTTGATAAATATGCGTGGTTTGGGTTTCAGGTACTTAACGGAATTGACATCAGTAAATATATTCACATTATTTCTGTAGAAAACTTAAAGCCCCGAGATTTTATTCTGATTAAAACATAAACCTCTGAACAAATATTCAAATTGTTATTTCAAAAGAATCTAATATTCAGATTAGTGAATGTGTTGGGCATTCCAGCTACATCAGGTTCCTAGATTGGTCAGCTAACTCATTGTACATACGGTAAGTAAAACATAAGCAATAACAGTAGTGTATTTTGCTCATTCCAGCTACATCAGGTTTATAGATTGGTCAGCTAACTCATTGTACATACGGTAAGTAAAACATAAGCAATAACAGTAGTGTATTTTGCTCATTTTTTTAGCTTAAAAATTGATTATATGCATGGTCAAAAAAAGATTTTTTTGGATTACATTGACCTCTGCAACTTATGTTACAGGGTGTCCCAAAAAACATGGGAATTCAGTGACGAATTCGATATCGTCTTTGTTATGAATTAGCATTGTAATACCTAATTTCAAAAGCCGTAATATTATTATGTCTGCTAGAGTTTATTTTATGAAAAGGGTAAAAGACTGTAAAGATGAGTCTATAATGTCTCCGCAAGATGAACAGTGAAGACTGACAAGTTTACTCTGGTGGTATACTGTAATATTTTTGTTTTACTAAGTACAACCGTATGCAGTCAAAACATAAACAAACAAAATGTGAACCCAGCAGACGAAACTCTTACAAATTACAGCTTTCTCAGTAGGTATCACCATACTAAATCTAAGAATTATTTAAAAAGACGATATCGAATTCGTCACTGAATTCCCATGTTTTTTGGGACACCCTGTATCAGAGACCGTTCTTTTCCCCCGAACATACAGGATGTCCCGCAAAACATCACAGTTGGTGAATAGTTTTGAATATCTTCTTCCATATACTGAATTAAATATTAAAGACTTTTTGTAGTTTATTTATATGAACAAAGCCCGTCCTAATGATGTACTCTGTGGGGAACTTTGGCCGATAGATGTCTCACACTAAATTCTTATCTGATAGATAGATATTTCGTACAAGCACAGTCGGAGACGTCTGCTGGTCATCCATTGTAGCGCTGATATGAAATAAGCTCAGCTGCGTTTACTTGAAGTGCCAAGCTGACCCTTAGAGCAATTTATAGAGTTTACATACACGTGAATACAGACACGTGCATACAGACACGTGAATACAGACACGTGCATACAGACACGTGAATACAGACACATGCATACAGACACGTGCACACAGACATGTGCATACAGACACGTGCATACGGACACGTGAATACAGACACGTGCATACGGACAAGTGAATACAGACACGTAGAGCAGAATTAATCCCAGCTCAGTTTGGAATAGGACTGGGCCGGTCCAAACTTAGTAGAGCTGTCCCAATCCCTCACCACTATTCTAGATTAAAGTGACCCATCTAGTCAGATTAATAATTAGTGTGTGGCAAGGAAACGCCCAACTTAAAAGTGCGCTAGTTCTAAACTGTATAAAAAAACAGAAACCGTGTTGAGTAGGACCAAATACTTTATTGAAACCGTGTTGAGTTGGACCAAATATTGTATTGAAACCGCGTTGAGTAGGACCAAATATTTTATTGAAACCGTGTTGAGTAGGACCAAATATTGTATTGAAACCGTGTTGAGTTGGACCAAATATTTTATTGAAACCGTGTTGAGTTGGACCAAATATTTTATTGAAACCGTGTTGAGTAGGACCAAATATTTTATTGAAACCGTGTTGAGTTGGACCAAATATTTTATTGAAACGCCAGTTATTTTCTGAAACCTATGTTCATGATAGTAAATATCTAAGAAATCGTAAAGATTAATTCCTTGATTATTATAATTACACTTCTAGCCTTTTAAGTGTATTTTTTCATGATTTAGTATGCAGATCTTCATACACACATGAACACTATGTTGTTCCCCTAAATTATCTCCTCCCATTGCAGGACACAGATTTGACACATCAAATATGGCGATCCCTTGTCAATGTATAATTTTTGTTGTGTTGTGAGTGTTGTGACCATGTTGTCTGTTTAGAAGTGTATCTGGAGACTATGAGCTGCTGTTCTGGAATCCTACAACTGGAGATCAAGTTCTAGATCTGGAAATCATGGCAAATATTGACTGGATATCACAATCATGCTCAATATCATTCGAGACACTAGGTAACCCTGTAAACATTTAGTCTCCGACAAACCGATGTCGAACATATAAACTCCAGAATTATTTACCCGCCATATTTGCCATCAGAACATAATCAGTTACCATGATTCCAAGGGAATATATTTTTTTAGACAGTTATATCTCATACTTTGAAATTTTATATTAAGCTGAATTTTAAATCCAATTTTTGGGAAATAGATCATCCTTTTTAATTTGAAGAATATGCAAAATAAACAAAAACAATGATTTTAAAGATTTAAAAAAATCTTTTTTCTGGTAAATATTTTTAAATCTATACTCTAATTATTTGTGCTATAGTTATTTGTACTACCGGTATTTGGAATCTAGGTATTTGTACTTTAGACATTTGTAATTTAGGTATTTGTTCTCTAGGCATTTGTACTTTAGTTATTTGTTTTCTAGGTATTTGTACTCTAGGCATTTGTACTTTAGGTATTTGTTCTCTAGGTATTTGTACTCTAGTGATTTGTACTTTAGGTATTTGTTCTATAGGCATTTGTACTCTAGGTATTTTTTCTCTAGGTATTTGTACTCTAGGTATTTTTACGTTTTCGTACTTTAGGTATTTGTAATCTAGGTATTTTTACTCAAAGTATTTTTACTCTAGGTATTTGTATACTCTAGATGTTTGTAACCGAGGTATTACAATAGGTATTTGTACCCATAGGTATTTATACTCTAGGTATTTGTACTCTAGGCATTTGTAATTTAGGTATTTGTACTCTATGTTTTTGTACTCTAGGTATTTGTTCTCTAGGTATTTATACTCTGGGTATATGTACTCTAGGTATTTGTACTCTAGGTATTTGTTCTCTAGGTATTTGTACTTTAGGTATTTGTAATCTAAGTATTTGTACTCTAGGTATTTGTACTCTAGGTATTTGTACTCTAGGTATTTGTATACACTAGGTGTTTTCTAGGTATTTGTACTCTCGTTATTTGTACTCTAGTTATTTTTACTCTAGGTATCTGGTATGATCGGTCAGCTGATGGGACGGATATAAACTGCTGTGCAAAATCTAACCAGCCCGACCTGCCAGCCATACTAGCGGTCGGCGACGACATGGGCAAAGTTAAGCTGTACAAATATCCAGCTGTACAATACAAAACCGGTTATATTGATCTGATCGGACACAGTGCGCATGTTACAAATGTCGTATTTCCTCTAAACCGCGGTTTAGTGTCGACGGGAGGTAGAGAAAATAGTATTATTCAATGGGACTTGTAAATTCTACATGCTTGATAAGCATAGATCAATTAAAAATTTAAAAATATTGTTATAAAATTGATATTTTATGTGCTGTAGTGAGAACAAGAAAACTATGGAATAGGAAGACGACATTATAGCAAAACTGAAGTACATGTATTTGATATTGTATAACAAAGTAAATAGTTTTACTAGAAACTTAATACATTACGTTTTAAGTAAAAGTCATCTTCATATTCCAGAGTTTTCTGGTTTTCTGTTTAAATTATTATTATTTTATCAGAACGTGATCTAAAAACTGTTATTTATGAGAAATATATAAATAAATATATACCTTCAGACTTTAAAATAATTATTTTTCCCGCATTCAGTAAAACTTTTGATTTTAGAAAATCTTTTTAAAAGCTGCCCTTGCCTTGCACATGCAAAATTCGTCCAACACTCGCCGGCCATTAACGACCTCCATTCGTCGAAACTGTTAATCTATTAGGGTTTAAAGAGATAAGCAAATTAATAATGGATATATCAAATCCAAATCAAATCATATGCAAGATTTCACGTTCAACTAAATGTAACTAATAACTCGTAAAATTCTAAATTTCTCCATATCCCTTAAATCTTAATAACTTTTCAAAATCTGAAACAGTTTGAAATCCCGTAATCTGAAACGTTTAATACGAATGCAATCCCCCCGGAATGGCAACTCTTGAATTAAGGGGTGGATAAGTATCAGGTTTTTAATGAATCTGAGTTCAAAGTGGGAGCAGTGACCATTCACAGATCAGCTCATTCAGTGAATATGGGTAAATTATGTAAATAAGGAACTAACCCAAGCCAAATAATCACAATTTAACCCCTGTTCAATCTAATTTAAGGGATAGTACTAGTCGTTGGTCAGTGAGGGGGGGGGCAGTTTACCATATAAAGGCTGGGAGGTCTGAATCTATTTATAGACGCCCCCCCCCCCTAAAAAAGGCCTTAGAGAATAGGTACAGGATTGAAAAACATGTTCATAGCCCATTTTTCAAGGCCAGCACATTGAAAAAAAATAGATTGATAACTTTTATAGTTCGGGTGTATAGGGTGGGTTGACAAAAAATGCCAAATGAAAGGTCAAAGAAATGTGAAAAATAGTTTTTTTCAAAATGTGACACATGTTTCTACATTCATTTTCTAAGGGGTTTTCAAAAATATAGTTTTTAGATCTGTAGCTTTAGTTATCAAAAAGGCTATTTTAGATTTTTTTTTTACATTTACACAGACCGGACTTTTTACCGAACTGAACCCTTTCCCTACCTTATCCATAAAAAAGTATATATTCAAGAAAAACATCCTTTAAATTTCTATTTATTAAAAATCAAAAAAATTTCCCGGGGATAGTGTCAAAAATGAGAGTGCTAGGGCAAAAAAAAACTAGCTAAGGGCACAGAACGCTCCGCCCCCCTCCGCCCCCAGCCCGTTAAGGGCTGATATTCTCAATACCCCCACCCCCCCTTTCTTCGGGCCTTACTGACATTCAATTTTGATCATAATCATTGAATTCACATTTTTAAGATATTTAAGAGGATTTCGATAGGTTTTACTAAACTTGTATATCCACAAAATTGTCTTGTTCGTTTGTTTGTTTTTGCCTTGTTTAATTTGTAAATTAAAAATTTTGCAATTATAACAACCTTAAAGAGCAAAAAAAAATTTATAAAATTTAAAAAGATCAAACACCGTGAATGTTTAAAAATGAATAAAAACAATGGCTGAGTACAGTGCGAACCATAATATATTTGGAATAGGAAAACGACATTAAAGCAATAATCTACTGTAGTTGATGTTTTACTAGTAACTTTAAATCTTTTAAGTGAAACATGGGTCTGATTATATTGCACAATTCCTGGGTTTCATGTTAATTGGACTATATTTCAAATCAAACCTAAGTCTTACAAGTGTCTTTCTATTCCACAGTTTTATGAGTCATATTATCTTTTATCTTAAAGGAACAGAAAATAAATAAAATTTTATTTTATTCTATTTGGTTTTCATTATCCTGGGATACATATCCGGCTGAAATAGAAATCCGGAATTTTCTTGGGAAAAAGAGAGAAACCGAAAAAATTGCCATAACCTGAAAAGAATTTACAATTTGGCTGAATTTATTTTAATTATAAAATTCATTCTAACGTTTACCAACGTTTATCTACAGGGTTATATTCAAGACTACAGACTTAATCTATAAATATAAAGGTTTTCAGATAGTCTTTTCAGTCTTGTGAAGTCTTATAGTTTCTCGCAGTTCAAAATAAGTGACCGGTTCTTATAAAAATGAATCCAATTTTCTCCTTAAATATAAGCATTGATTGGGATTTTCGTTTATTTTGATTAAGTCTAATCATTATGCTTGAAGTATAATATTACGAAAAAAAAATTTTTTAAATATATTTTTAAAATCAATAGTTAAAGAAACATTTGGTAAGTATGGTACATTGTCAAATAAGAAAGCAATCCCTTTATTATTTATTTATATTTTGTTCTGCAGTGAGGATACAAGATACCATGTATGTATTGTCTTATAGATCTATTAGGGTTTCCGCATCATATTTATTTATGCCAAGATTCCAGGAAAATATTAACAAATATGGGTTATAATATATAAGCTCATATACTATCAATGCCAAACCAATGGGCACAATCGCGGCAGCTATCAATGTCAACACAGAAACAAGCTCATATACTATTAATGCCAAACCAATGGGCACAATCGCGGCAGCTATCAATGTCAACATGGACATAAGCTTGTATACTATCAATGCCAAACCAATGGGCACAATCGCTGCAGCTATCAATGTCAACACAGACACCAGCTCATATACTATCAATGCCAAACCAAAGGGCACAATCGCGGCAGCTATCAATATCAACATGGACATAAGCTTGTAAACTATCAATGCCAAACCGCATTGAGTGCATGACGAGGACAATAATTACAATTACTAAATCAAGTTTCTTAGTAAATTTTAAAATAGGAGATTTTTTCAATTCAAAGGCAGGTCAAGTGTATATAAAAAATATTATCTTTTATAAAACTTTGATCAAAATGTTATAAAATGTAAAATTAGTAATTATTTGCTATTGCTATGTTCTTTTGCCATAACTATGTTTGATACATTCACACTTGGCGCCATAGTATGTTTGCCATAATTAACCATTGTCATTAACTTGAAGGGAGTGTTTACGAAAAATAAAGTGCTATAGGCTAAACCCAAATTTAATTTGGAATCAAATAAAATCAATCTTTTTTATCTGAATTTAGAGAAGTGAGAAAATTATATAAACGTTCGTCGCTTACACTGCAGAATTCCCGATTTGGTAGAAAACGATTCATGACGTTCGAATCCAAATTTCATAACAAACAGCTTAATAATTGTTAAAGTTTTTAATTCAATTATTGGTACCACCCACATAACAAAAATATCTAAACTAACTCTTAAAGAACATTATTAATACGTTTAGGAAAAACAATTACCAATTCTTATTATTCTAGAATAAACTCTTATCCACATTAGACGTTTAACCATAGATAGATGAGTGGGTGTGTAATCAGTC